TCCACCTATTTCAGTGTCAGTATTTTAATGTTTGTTTCGCGTTTCTAGTTTAGGATGTTTGCTAATATTGTTGCACACATTTAGTGAAACCGCTGTGAGAGGATTTCAGGATGACCGTTTGTCTTTTCCCAGCGGGGGGGTGGGGGGGTTCCTTCTGAATATTTTTGTATTTGCGTAAATATTGCATATTCGAAAAATGAAAAAAGCAGTACATAAAAATACAATTAAATATCCTTTGGAGCATTACTCTGACTGCTCTGATGGTGTCTGATGATGATGTCACTCCAAACAATGCAGAGAATGGAAAACGTTTCCATTTCTCCAAAAAAATGACGTCATTTAGCATTCTTTAATGTTTTAAGTAGATAAAAGTAGATAAAGTATTTTCAGAACCATTTTTATGTAGTTTTAGGTAATCTGGATCTTATTGTTCTGTTTGTGCGGGACGGATCGGGTCTTTGATGGGCGCCACGTCCGTCTCAGGCAGCTCATGGCGCTCGCTGCTGGGATTCTATTCAGGCTCTAAAACCTCAATCTAAACACTATCAGGTAGAGAAAACCTTATTTAATCAGGATCAAATGGATCAAATGTTTTTATAGGCTTCTGATGTCACTATGAACCTTTGATGAAACAGTCTAGATAAGAAGCTTTAAATTATTCATAAACTAGTTTAGCTTAGAAATAATTCATACCTCAATGAAACGGCTGAAAAATGCTTGTTATTAAAACGTATAATATACCAATTCCCCTCATAGAAGCTCTCGCCATCATATTAAGGTATCACTGAAGAAAGTAACGCCAATGCATTTCTATAGAAAATGAACATAGAGTGGTAAATAGTCACCATAAAGCTGCATGGTACTTTTAAACAAAGAGATGAAACCACATAATGAGATGATTCCTCAACTGATGGAACATTTGAATAAAAATAATAAAACACCAACATAGAAACAGAGTGAAACGATTCTATGATCTGAAGCAGCCGCAGGGTTTCATGAGGCCAAAGCTTCATCGTTAGGCGGGAAAACAATCCAAACTTTATTCTTATAAACAGGCTGAAGTCATGATTTGTGACGCAGAGAAACAAACGGAGCTTCAGCTTCGTCTGAACTTCAGTTTTAGACGTTTTGCTCAGAGATGAGATGAACCTTCAATGAAAGAGTTTTATTCACCTAAAGGTTTGTTACCATGAAAAAGACCAAATATTTGCTTTGAAATCACCTCTGATGTCGGGAATCATTTCATCTAAAACAGTTTGGACAGAGGGAGGCGCTGCAGGCGCTGCAGGTGCTGCAGGCGCTGCAGGCGCTGCAGGCGCTGCAGGCGCTGCAGGCGCTGCAGGTGCAGCGAGGAGCGGCTGATGGACCTCCATCACATTTAGAAATATTAACCTCAGTTTCATCGTTTTTCAATCCTCCTGCTCACATTAAGCCGGGTGAGCATTAGCTCTGCAGGATTCAACCTGTCACACTGCTAAGCTAGGCTAAGCTAAGCTAATAAAGCTACCAATATGGACTGATATGAAAGGCTTAAATCTGGAACAGTTCCTGTTTCTTTATTTGCTGCTGGTAGAAACGATGAAGGTCTATTCTACTCTAACCAGGGGCCCGTATCAGGTGGAAAAGTAAGGAAGATCCTAAGGGCCCTTGATTGAGGTGGGGCCCCAAAGAAGAGGATGTGTCCCAATAGAATAAAATCAATAAAATAAATAATTTTCGTTGTTCCTCATCTTTCAGCAGCAAACTGAGAAACGAAGCAGGAATAAATTCACCATCCAGGTTTTTTTATCCACCAGTTTGTAAAATAACCACTATGTTGTTTTCCTTTAGAAGTTTATTAAAGTGTACAGATATCCAGTTATTATTTCATTGATATTATTTTAAATCTCCGCTGGTTAAAACTGATGCTGGGTATAAAAATGCTGTTTTTTTTTGGGGGGGTGTGCAAGGCGGCGCGGCGGTTAGCACGCATGTTTCACTTACGGGGGCCTTAGTCCTCGACTCGGGTTCGAATGCGACCTGTGG